ACTCCCCAACTCATTCTATTATGACCGTAGATAATAACATAACGAACTTGGTGGGAAAAAAAAAACCTATAACAATTATCATTTCCTTTCCTTTCACTATTGTCAAACTCCAGATCCTTATGCCTATTATCTCACTGTCTAACATCCTTTTTTGTAGAGCTGTATAATGGCCATTTCAGGGCGTACTTCAGAGGAGGCAAAAGCCTACACCAGTAACAAAAACACATCCAGAAAACCTTTTAAAGGTGTCCAAGCCATCTCTCATTAAACTGCATGCTTCATTAGGTATACTCTTTGTTTCCAGTAAAGATGAAACCTCATAGCAATTTAAAATGGAGTTTCTCTGTCATATTAGAGAAATAAGAAATACTATCAGGATGCTGATATTGACATGAAATGCAAAACAGACTATGGGAATACTAAGGCTATTTTTTCCCCCCCAAGGTGAAAGAGGCACGCAATACTTTATGTTCTAAACAGAAGTAACAAGAAAGAAGCTCTCTAATATTACCTATTGTAATATTAATATTACTATAATACTGAGAGTATTACAGCCTGTAAATTTCCCAGCGTATTATTATAAGAATGTAGCTCTGAAATACTATCTGGTCACATTGTCTGCTAATACAGTCACTGTAAATTCTGTTGCAACTAAATAATCATGAGTTTAACTTTTCTAAATGAAAATACCTTTAAGATGAAATATTAAAATGTTCAAAAAACCAAAGACAGAAACAATAATTGGGCTGAGTGAAAGAACAGGTAAGACCAGGATCAACTTCGACCTTTCAGTGGAGTCTGCGGTCAATATGTCTCTATTATGAAATGCAAGACGGAGCTAATACGTTCCTTTTTTCCAAATTGACTTGAGAACTTAAAAAGGCCCACTAGTCAGTTTAAAGATCCAACCAACTCAAATAGCCCATCTCCAGCATTAGCCAGCAGATACTTGAGGAAATATAAGAAACAACACGAGTAGAAATCCTTCTTTCACATACAACTCCTCATTTCTGAAAAGATAAATGTTGCTTCCACTTAAGAAGCTGTAAAGTAATTAAAAAAAAAAAAACACACACACTTCTATAGCAAGTGCATTAATCCAGGCTATCAGAATAAACAGCTGTATTCCCAGTGGAAATTCATCCAAGAACCTGCTTTATTACAGCACTTTCCTGAAAGTTTATCAATTAGTCAAACTGTGAAAACAGTAAAAGAAGAAAAAGGTAGCGTTTTGGACTAACGGCAGCCAAATATGAGGGAATTCTGTGATTCTGTGTAATTCCAGTGGTCATGCTGGAATTCCCACTGGCAGATTAAAAGCTATACGTGTTTCTCAGGATAGTAGCTGCTAACTTTCAACATCAGCTTAAAGCGTTTCAACAAATTCTGTGCAGACTTTCTGGGGGAAGAAAATTCTGTAAAGACAGACTCATTACCAACTGTGGGAAGATTTAAGTTCTCAAGGGGCCTCCTGTGTTTCACCAGGTTCTCAAATAGCCTAAGGTGTAAGAAAACCTCACTTGCTTAGCAAAGGGACATACACACTTATAGCCGTATTCAATTACCTGATTACACACATACCAGAAAGGGATTATAGTACAGGAAGAAGCATACTGAAATAAGCTGAAAGATCCGGGTATATACTGTCTTAGATATATGGTCTAAGTCTGGGTCTAAGTTACTACTTTATGTACAACCGTTCACAATCTTTTTAAATAAAACCTGTATAATCCATACATTATGAGTGTCCTGACAGTATCAGAACACAATTTGAAGAGTCAGCCTTTAGCTCTAACCTCACTAATGAGCACAGGTCATAACTTTACATAGGAAGAGTAGTCCACCCGGACTGTGTATGTATCTGTGAATAACTAAACTATACAGCACGTTAAAACTAAAAATTCATTCCCGCACAGTCTGAAATGAGTAGAATACATCTTGCAATCAGATGAGAACGTGGTCATAACTACGTACAGAAACAGCACTGAAATTAGCCATTAGACAGCTGAAATCAGACGCAACTAACACTTGCAAGTTTTAGAGGTTTATATGTTCAAAAGTCTTTTCATTGTAAAAACTGAAATTAAAAAAAAACGTTTTCAAGAAAGGAATGAGAATGTAGACATGCAAAATATATGATATTTGCAAAAATCTCATAGAGCTAATGCAGAAACATGAAATCTTAAGATTCTGGATGCCACAGTGCAGCCATCAGTATGGGTCTCATAAAACAGTCGACAATGAAGAGTAGGTTATCAAATTAAATTGTTCAAATAAGAAAAGTCCAAGTTCAGGTAGTTTTTAATACTATGATGCCCATTACATTTACTATGATGGGCTTATGCTCTATCATATTTCTCTGCACACCTTTCCCCTTCCCCACCTCCCAAAAAATAGAAGTACTGCACTATGACTTGTTTTTTAGATAAAAGTTGCAAACCTATTATCAAAGTTTAGCAGTCAGGCCTGAGTACATTCAACTCCCTATCAAAGACCCTGGACATACGAGCTGAGAGAGGGTGCGAGTCTCATCTACACATGTCGCTATTCGCACAGACACCACTACACCCCAGTCCAACCGGCCTAAAAACAAGACCAGTGCATTAGTATACCACGTCACTCAAAGATTATGAAATCAGCATCACAACGCACTTTTCCACAAGCGTGACTATTGACATATGAATAGTGTAAGCTGTTCTCCATTAACAGGTTTTTTCTGTTAAACGTTCTAAGCACAATATAGCTGGGAACTCAAGTTTGGTTTGGTTTTTCCAACATTTTATCAAAGCGTCGGCATGTTTATTACAAATAACTATAGTCGAGAGCACTCTTTTCCCTTTCATCTTTGCATTATCTTGAAGACTCCCTGCATTTGATAGACACGCAGGACTTGTTAAAATACTTACTTGAACAACATGCATATCTACTTTGAAACTGAAGTCCAGTAACGACGAAAAGTCATACGGACTCTCAAAATGCATCAGTGTCTGGAAGACCGATACAGAAGGTTGTACGTCAAGATTGCATTTTTCTTCAGCTCAAAGTATGGATTGACTCACCAAAAAGACATTACAGGGACACGTCTCATGCCCCCGCACTGTGGAGAGACCACTTTCTTAATTAGAATAAAACAAGGGCGGTAGGTATGCTGAACCTGAACAACATAAATCCGCTCCTAAAGTGGTCAATGGAACAGCGTTCATTTCATTCACCCAAGAACATGGAACAGAACTACTTGCAATCTCATGCTCCACATTTGCTGCGGCGTTTCCCGAGCGTTTTTAAAACACACACCTCAACTGGAACATAGCCCACAAAAACTGAATTAACAGCTAAGTAAACGTTTACATCTTTTAAAGTTGTTTTAGAGAACATGAAAAGAACCCCAATATTATATTTTTTTTTTTAATTACATATCCTGTGTAGTAAGTATAATGAGAAATCCTTATGTTCACTGCTACAAAAATAGAGAAGGTTTAAAAGCTGCTAACAAGATTTGATATTTGGTATGTTGTTGTTTTTATTTGATATTTTTGTTTTATTTTGATATTTTAAATTTCAAAAGCACAGACTCTTCAAATTTAAGAAAACAAAAAGATCTCATAAAATCCATTTAATATATAACATCTTCCCCACGAGTCCTTAGCCAAATAAAGGGAAGACTGTCAGCACTAGTCTGTAGAAAATATAAAATCAGGCATAAGACAAAGCCAACCTGCTCCTCTACCTTTTACAGACCAAGGCACAAACATTGAAAACTGAATTATGGAATACTTGATGAAAATTACTGAAAGTGTCAAATGAAAAAATAATGAAGTCACAAAACACACATTTCCTTACTGTAAACACATATTTAAATGAGCTCCTGAGCAGTCACCATTAAGCTGAAAGATAATGCAAGTTTTTCTGTGAAAATCCAGTTCAAAGAAGAGAGACTTCACTATAACATATCGATTTCCTTTACTGCTGATTCAAAAAAGTCCTCATTCTTTTTCTGGGACATTCATATAGTACTATCTAATTATACCCTCCATCAACCTAATTCAATTAAATAATAATATAATGATGTGTAAGAAACAACTGATATATATGCAGACAATTTTAGTAGTACTAATTACATTCTAATTTTTAAAATCTATCATAATGAGCCTTTCTTCCCATTCTCAGAAGGGAGGACAATATGTAGGTTAATATTTATACTCTGTGTGTCACATCATCTTTGTAAGAAAATCATTGAAGTGTGAATTAAAACACAAGTACAGAGTTCAGCATACAGCCAAGTTTGATTTGAAGTTAAAACAAGACTTTTCTAATTGCTAATAATTCTACAATATCCTTAAAATTGCAGGATATATTTTTTAAAAGCTGCATCCAAAGTCTGCAACTGCATTCGATATTACTCACTACTCTATCTTCTGCAGTAACTACAATCTCTGAAAAAAAAATACACATACACAAAAGGAACGTTTCATTATATGGAAAGGCTATCAAAAGGGATTTCTACTAGTAAACTGTTAAATACAGTAGTTTATCTTCAAAGCACTTCACTGTACTAAGTACTAAAGGAGTTCAAGACATATCGCAGCACATAGAAATATCCAGCATTTCTACAACTGTTAAAAATCTACCTTTTGATCAAGCCAGAGGGGTTATAAGCAACCCACCTCTACATTGCTCCCAAGCTATTCCCATCTCTACAGAGTAAAGTGATTTTTTTGGACTCAAGAGAAATCCATTAAGATCCAGTTTAAAAGATTAGAAAAAAAAGTCAAGTTCATAAGGTCAAAAGGGATTTAGATCAAAATTTTATGTCATCTTTTACAAGAGAATTTTAGTTAATTCGCTGTTTTAACATGCATTTAATATCAGTATTTGCAGTATAACAGAAAAGTCTTACTTCCCATTTCTTCCTGGGACACACAATTTAACATAACAGTAATAATAATAGTATTTAAAACACAAATGTTTTTGATATTTTTAACAAATACAAACAAACAAACCTTCTCTTTTGAGCTTCAGTCTCTCTCCTGGCTCGATCTAGCGCCAATTCTTCAGCTATTCTTTTCTTTAGTTCTTCATCATTAACTACAATTAAAAGAAAATTAAGAACACAATATGTTTCTAATTACAGAAAAAATTACATAATACAGTGTTCCATTTTAATAATTTTTTTTCTACAAAACAGTTGGAGCACCAACTTGTGGTTTTAGCACCTTTCAAATTTTGATATACAACACTAGAGAGCTTTCAAAAATTACTCCTATTGAAAAAATTTTCAATTAACACACTTTCAAAAATTAAAAGACTACATAGTATAAGTTAAATTAAATACAACCTTCTTTTAATAAACATGCCTTTATCAAAGAAAATTTGGAAGAAATCTGGGACCTAAATAATAAAGTCTCAAATTACTACTCTCTATTCATATGGAATCAAGGGAAACAAGTTCTCACATATTGCTTCAAGTATTTTCAAATGCATATTTTAGTCCCCACAACAGCGTATTTACTACAGTCTAGATATCAATACATTTAGTTTCTATTGCTTAGTGAAAGCTTTTGCCTTAATTTCTCCTAATTTCACTTGAGCAAGCAGACGTGGAATAAATATTTTCTTCCCTGACACTACTTCAAATGAGCTAGTCGGAAGTCTGGTTAAGAACTGCGAAAGGAGGGAAGCAAAGAAATTCTCTTCAAAATTATGAATAAGCTTTTCCACACAAACGTAGACAAGCATGAGATCTGCTAATTCCATGAGTCTGAAAAACATTAATGAGACTGCCAAAAGTCATTTAATAAGATTTTCAAACGCACAGAAAAGGTCCATTCCCAACTCACCTTGATATTCAAGTGGTTAGTCAGGCAACCTACTTATACAGTGATACTGTTCAATATTAAGTAACTCTCTGCATCTATAGGCAATCGTATATTTTTGAAAAATCTGACTCAAAGACGAGAAATAGTTTGCTATTACTTCCTTTGAAGCATGTTGTTATTGCTACAACTTCTATTAATAAACTTCCAGAATAAACCACATTGAAAGGTTGCTTTAGCCTTAAAAGAAATCTAGTATGTATAGAACTATAGGTATAGAACTATTTTCCATTCTGGGAAAATGTATTTGGTTCCCAAGCTAAAGTTACACAGCTTTGGTGCAATAGCTGTAACCTCACATAAAGCGTTGATTTGCAGCAGTCAGAAAGAATGAGTTTTCCTTGAGGAGGAAAACAACTAACTAAAAAGTACAGCTGTAGAATGAGAATAAAAAAAAAAAAAATCAAGTAATTATATCCAGGTTTCTTGCCAATATAAATCTGAATCCAATTCTAGCTCTCTTGAACCGAGGTATACCCATACGAGCTGAGCTGGACCTCCGTAACTCAGCAATACTCTAGTACTCCAGTAAAGACATAAGGATACCTTCCCTATCTATATAAAGCAGCTAGCTCAAGCATCTCTCACAAATTCCACGATATGGAACTTATGGAGCTAAAAGGCACATAATCGAACTCCAAAATCATTAATGCCTATCACTTGCACAGAATATAGATGTTGAATTCAAGTACGTGAAACAACCCTTCTTTCTCCACCCTCATAAGCAGTAACCAATACACTAGTCTAGGTAGCTAAAAGAAAAAAAAGAGAGAGAACTACATTTTCAGGCAATATAAGAAGTAATTGCAAGACAACAAGCAATTAAAAAAAAAAAAAACACAGTCACCTCAGACTGCCCATTTGTGTCAAGTATTTGTACATCCAGAGGGCATTCAACAGCTGTTGGCAACCACACACTTGTGGAGGTCCTGCGGCAAGAGAGAAAAGGCTGCCAGTCACCTTTTTCACAGCAAACATAGTTAAAAGTATGAGCCCAGAAAGCAGGATATCTGGAATTTAGACCCTTCTCGAACAGAAGGGTTTGAGTCCACGTACCCCATATTCCAGTAAAGTGCTCTAATCATCATGCTACCACCTAACTCAAGTGGAGACACCCTCTTTTTTGAGGGAGAGGGAGGGAGAAGATAAAACATTGCGTTAAAGAGAAAGAGCCTCAGAGAGTGCCGAGTGATTAGAGCACAAAACTGGGACAGAGTCTCAGTACCCGCTTTGTGGAACCATTTAAGCCTGTTATGTTAGGCAGCCATTGGATTAAAAAGAAAAAAAAAAAGGAGGGAGATACACTACTAAAATGCAAGTGGCAAAACAGCCACGTACTCGGGGACCTGCCTCAAAGACTTGAATTTATCTGCAGACATTTCATCCAACATCGTTAGCCTCCATTCCCTTTGTAGTTAATGGAGTCCAGTGTGCGATTCTTCTCATACTAAAGCAGACCTTTAGAAAAGTAAATTTTATAAGTGAACAAAGCACCTACTCAGCTCCATTGACTACATGGGAATCTTGTAACAGATTACTACCACAAAGCCCGAACGAAAAAGTAATATTCGTTTTATTGGCACTATCTCTACTGACTACTGTCACTGTCCCAATATTTTCTGGCCCAAGGCTAAGCCAGGATGCCCTCACATTCTCCGTTTCAGAAGACGGGGAGTTGTCATATCATGTTTACGTATTCCCAAACAACCATCAGATGGCCACACTAAACTCCAAATCCCCCAAAAAAAAAAAAAATGAGTTTAACAAAATAGGAATCTATTTATATATTGCAGCACACAATTTTCTCCCACACCCGAGTGAACATCACAAGCCAAAATGAAAGCAGTTAAGGTTCTGCTTTTGTAAACTTAGAAATGATTAAGCTGCCATAAAACCAAAGAATTTATTTCAGATCACCGCTACCTTCCTCACAGAACAAACCTGAAAACCCATGTTCAGGTGTTGCTTACTGCAACTCCATTCAACCCAGAGACTTCAGTACTTCATATCCTTTTAATGCTGTGCTTGAGAAAACACAAGAAGTTGCCTAAGCAGAAGTATGCTGTTCACCAGCATCTGTATCGTGGAGTTTACTGTTCTGCTGTGCAAAAATGAGTAAAAGTAGTCTAATAGACCATAGAATGGTCCTTTAAGATGTAATACAATAAAATTCAGGCAGCAGCCAATAAAGACATAGCACATTTGACCTTAACAATCAATTAGGTTACACATCGATCAGCCGAATACTAATAAGGAATAAAAGCGGAGCTATAGATCATCCAATAGAGTTATTGTAAGATATAATTGGGTAGCTCCCAAATGAGAAATTTATGATGTTTCAGTAAAAATTGCAGTTCTACAAGCATAGGGGAATTGTTCTAGGAGAAGAGACGTTTAAAGAAAAGTTAATTTATTAGAAAAATTGGAAATGTTTCTAGGCAAAAAGCAATAAAAATCTCTCTGAAATAGCAATTTTAGGTCAGACTATATGACATTAAAAACAGGCACCTAACAGAAACTATTGGAGAACATTAGAATATGGTAGGCACAGGACTGCTAAAATAAGCGGGATATGGAGACTGTCAGTATAGAGCAGTTGCCAGAAGTTATTTACCTACCTCCATCCTCCTCGCTATTTTAAGTTCGTCACGATACTGAAATCGGTGCGAATCTCTGTAAATGCGTTCCAGGGCGTACAAACTTGGAAGATTTTTAGGCAGCTAGTATTTAGGAAGGTCACACACGCACCCCAGCGCTTTAGTACGGTGCCTCTAAAAGGGGCATAAAACGAATGCAACTTTACCGTTTCCCGAGTGCGAATGACCTAACGCACAGCTCACATCACAAGACAATTTAGATAGATGGTCAGTAATGGGAACTGCACTGAAAAAGCCATAGCGCAATAACCAGAAATAACTGTTCTCTTAGTATGTGAAGCGTGGCTCCTGATAGGTGTCTGATAAGCATTATTCTCTTTAGGATAATGGAAACAGAGTACCCGCAGCAGCACTGCCAAGGGGCTCATTACCACGCTCAGATCTAGGGCTGGATCTAGCAGCGAGGGCGCAGTGATTAAAATGACCAAACTGACTGCTCCAAGCAACAGCACTGCTGACACAGAATGTCACTCTGTGACTAGGAGGAGGGACAGAAAACACGTTGACTGCCAATGGACAAGGAGATTTTGCCGTTTTGATAGCCTCTGGGATGAAGTAGCCTGCTCCTTATACTTGCCCGCTCCTTCGGAAAGGTTTGAAAGGTATGCTGATTATGTCCAGTCCTACAACACAAATGCATCATGCGTTTCCTCCCTTTCATGCAGAGAATGCAGCTTTAAGAAGAATACAGCTAAGTTAACCAAATTATACTTAATGCAATCAGACCCTTTACAAAAGGTTTTCACCTACTTCAAGGACAAGACAATACACACATTCAGTTCATTTAGTGAGCGGAAGGTGATTTCGCCTTTAAAATAAAGCATTAGAGCATAAAAGAAAGAACAAAATAGGCAAAGATGACACTGGAAGAAACTGTAAGTTATATGCAATACGTATCTTGGCCAAAATCTACAACAATACCCAATGGAAAAAATAAGAGGCACTTCCTCCCCACCCCCAAAAAGCTGCAGAACATTTACTTCGCTATCAAATCATTTCAGTCGACCTTATGCCTTTCAGATGGCGCATAGACAAAGGGAAGAATGGGTGTGAGGGTGTCTTGCGGTGTAATAGGGTTTTCCTTTGAAAAGGATGCAAATCAGATCAGCAGTTACAAAAGCGTAACAGTATTCTCTGCTTTGCCGTATTTCAATGCTTTTCCGTTGATCCTTTCCCATACAAAGATGACGCTCCAAGATTTTTATTCATCCAGTACTCTTTTGTAGAACTGAAGGGAGGCCTATTCTTCCATCATTTTAAAAAGACCACAAGCCCTATGAAGATGGCTTTGGGGACCACTCTCACAGATACAGCCTTCATCTGGACTACAGAAAATAGCAAGACGCATCACTTCAGGAAACAAAAAAATTGCACAAAGACATTTGTTTAACCCTTAGTATCGATTCTCCATTTGTGCTTCAAAAATAAGATGATTAAGAAAACATACACCGGATGACTTTCTGAGGGTCCAAAAGGCTTTGAATAATTATAAGGACAAATCGATGAAGACTGAGGAGCTAAAGGTACCTAAGAGCATACATATCCTCCTGACCAT